ATTCGGTACTTTTTCTGGTACGTTTCATGCATGTTTGGTATGTGGATAAAGAAATGGAGCAGAATTCGAGGAATTGCCCGCCATAAGGTTTGTATGGTTCTGCCAATTTCACTGCTTTTCGAGCAGAATCTTCCACCTTTTCGAGCATTATCCCCCAATGCCTAGCTGACAGTGCTCAACACCGCGGCGGCAGAGCGTAATACACAGAATAACAAGAGCAATCAAGGCTAGTTAGTAGCTACTCAAAGGTTCATGCTTTCGCAATCATCATACAACATGAGGATGCTACTGGCCATGCCGATAGATATGCCAGGAGATGTATTGGTGGGTGTTGTAGCGCTGTGTGGAAAGCTGTGTTTGAATTTGGGGGCTTTTTTATTTTATTTTTTTAGAGAAACCACGAACCTCGAGAACAGAATACTGCATGATAGAGGTGGTTGCAGACGCAACTGTGGTGGTGAAACTGGAGCATCTCCGCCGACCTGAGGTCTCAGCTTCAGCGACACTTCAGAGCACAAAAAAAAGACAAAAAGGCTGTATAGGTTTCAGGGCTAGCGGTGGCATTTTAGTGTCCTTTCTCTTTATATTCCAAAGCAAACCTTTGGTTTCTCCGTGACTGAATGGTGTTCGGATCAAGTGGTATGACATTTGAATGTTCTTCTAGGTAAATGTTTTCTAACTTTCCCTGCCCAATCCAATCCAACCAACCAACCAACTCTTCGCTTCTAACTTGAGCTTGAGGGGTTTTCACATCACCTACCTCAGCAACATCCTGCGGAGACACATCCAGAGGAATGGAGTGGACGAATGTACCCGCCACCAGGCACAGGGCTAGAGCGAAAGAAGCCTTCATCTTGACGAAGAAGAGAGAGGGAGGGAGAGAGGAGGGAGAGGGCGAGAGAGCTGCACAAACTAAAATTTGCTTCTTAGATCGGTTGCTACGTTCTCTCTGGGAGTCTGAGCTGCGGATGATGGATTCGGTCCACACATAACACGCTTTCATACATTTTTACTGCGCAAACGGAGTCTCACGTTATTAAAGGTGATTCCTTGATTTTAATTCCTGAGTGCTTTGTCCCATCACATCCAGCGGCTTTCCTCGCGCCTCCCTTTTTCGCAGACTCCGGTGCAACAGAGCAAGTAACTCTGGCCCTTAGGCATGTCCGATGATAGGCACACGTAAATGTGCATGTATGTTTGCACCTGTTTGTGCGGGCGCGCGCGTGTATGTGCGTGTGTGTGTGTGTGTGTGTGTTTTGTGCCCGTGCAGGGGTTTTGCGAGACGGGTCCCGCTACGGTTGCATGCTCAGTCAGCGCAAGCTAACGTCTTAGTTTTCCGATTTTATCCCGGTCCACAAGTTCCATTCTGCATGTACAATGTAGTACGGGTCACGAGGAGATAGTGCCGTCCGGTCAGTTTTTGTTTCGTGTTCGCGTAACTTCCCCTCTTTGATTACCTCCGATAACATGAGCCTCCCAAGTTGGGTGGTCGTTGTTTCGCGTTCTTGAAGCAAGCCGTGGCGGTTCTGTGCCGTGGTTCTTCGTCCTTCGTCATCATCTTGTCATTGCTAACATTCTTACTTCAGAAGTAGTCCGTGGTGATGTTTACAAGCAGCTTCTTTTCGTCTTGTGTGCGCTCACCCTCCCTTAATTAACTGATAACCTTCCAAGTTGGAAGGCTGTAGGTTTGCACATTACAAGACATGGTACAGCTTAGCATCAGGTTGTTGAATGTCAGTATCCCATCAGTCAGTGTTGTGCTAATCGTTGCACGCTCTGGCTCACCAGCATCATTCTTATAGAATGTCTTTGTGTTGCTCGAAAACCGGATAACTTCTACACCTGGGGTGGTCCTCTTTTTAAAATTTTTTAATCCGTGGCTATCCATCCGAGTCTGATGTACATGCGGAGTGATTGCATATCTATCTATGCCGCAAAATGAAGGATACCAATTGAAGGCATGGGAGGAGCACACGCACACACGAATGCACCATGCTGTGTGACCTCATTCAAGCTCACACAAATACAGTAAAATCTGTAACTAAAGACAACCGTGACTAGCTACCAGCCTGGTACTACCGACCACTTCGCCAGGCACGGACGGTCTCGCATTCATTATAATGGATGTGCGGTGCAAACCTCTAACTAAGGACCAACTGCCTCTAGGGACCGCTTTCTCTGGCCCCAAAGGGGTGGTCGTTAGTCACAGGTTTTTACTGTATACAAAATCCGGGTTTGCAGTTGAGATAGACTAAGGGGGATGCATGCATATCACGTGTACATGTACCCTAGGTGTTCATGCACACGCACATATTCGCCGTCACGCCAATAGTCATGGTTTCAAACGCACGCACACATTCTCCCTCACGCCCATATTCGTAGTTTCGAACGCATGCACATATTCGCCCCCTAGTACAATGTCAATATAATAAAGACGCACGCATGTTGTTGTTGAGTTTCATTTGCATGCCCAGTGTATACTAACTTCAAGTACATACTTACACAATCACGAACGACCACCAGCACATTCCTTGCCATTGTTGTCGATATTGCGGACGTCACACTTTTAAAGGTCCGTGCAGAGCTCGCAGTTAGCGAGCGGCCTTCTGAAGTCTTCCGCCGACTGAGATCGGGCCATAAGCACACATAAGAACATCAGTAATCTGTCCTTTTGTTGTTTTTAAGGACTGTGCCATAGAAGGTAAGAACAGGGTGGCACAGTAGACGTCTGGACCAGTTTTACACATACATGCTGCCAAATTTGAGTGGCAGGCCGGTAGAGCCCCAGAGCGGCAGAGGCCCAGTGCAATGCTGGGTGTCCATACCCATTTTTGCTGTGTGCCCGGTCTGGACAGAGGCACCAGAACACCTCGCGTAGAGCTCAGCGTCGTCACCATGAATCATGACCACTCAGTTCAAGCTTAGTTAGCAGTAAGTATCCAATATTGACTGAGTACGAGGTCAATATTGGAAATAAAGCCCAGTAAAAGACCGAAGCGAAGCCGAGGTCTTTTACGAGGTTTTATTTCCTATCCTGACCAAGTACGAAGTCTATATCACGACAAACAGTCTGTATTCCTAATTCCAACGATAACCTCATGAATCCCGGTTTTATGATTGCACAACCGTTGCACCATCACCTACTCATACAGTGACCATGCTGCACTAGGCACCGTTCAACTACGCAACCCATAAGCAGTCAAATATAAGCAGTCAATATAGCCCAAGGGAGTGAAATATGCAGGAATATTTGACTGCTTAGGTATAGTGAAAATCAATGGGAGTCAATACAGAGAGAGAGAGTGATAGCGACTGTTACGGTGCACGCAAAGCAGAATGATGCAACATTCACACTGCACGAGGTGTTGTGTAGTGACACTTCGTAGTAGGTCAGTACGTCGCCGAGGAATGTGGCAAGAATTGAATTTGCGTCAATGAAATGCGACTTGGTGATACAATCGTGTCATGTACAATGTACAGTGCTGGCAACTGAAATCCGACCCCTGAGCGGTGGTGCGCTCACATCGCAAAGACCCAACACAGTATAGTAAAACTACGAAAATAATAAAGACCGCTAGAATGTGAACGCATCGCTCAGGGGTCGGATTTTAGTTGCCAGCACTGTAGTTCGCAGTTCATAATGCATGCGACAATGTTAACATAATGTACATGTACATGACTGTATATCATTCGGTCAAGTTCAGTCTACAGTACAAATTAATTATGATATTTCGTTCAAGTCGACATCTACAAACGAAACTGGAGGCAGTACTCTGAATGCAACCCCACCGACCAGACACTAGGGTTCGTATCTGATTGTGCGAATCGCCCGTTTAGTACTGCATTAGCCTGTCTTTGTCATTTGGCTTTACACAAGATGTGCTGATGGCATATTGATTCATGCATAGTGTAGAGCCGGTGCAATGACGTCAGTCCAGATTGTTATGGTGCTGAGATACTCCAAGAAAGAATATTATGAATTTCCGATAGCGAACGTCACCGAACTTGAACCCTTTGCCGATTGAACTCTACTCGATCTGCGGATAGACCTGTTTCGTATTTTGTGGACTCATCAGCGCATCACAGAGAAAATGAGGCCGAACCTGATAGGAATGAAAAATATATTTCCAAAGCCAGATTGAAACCAGGCCCGAACGTACATGTACCTTGTCAGAGTGCTCAAACTGAAAAGTCAGTGAGCTCTGCATAATACAAACAGCAAAGGGCCTACTCCACATGAGAGTGCTTCAACTGAACTCTATGTATGTTGAGAATTGTACACTCAAATATGTTTTGCCTTACATTGGACGTAACATTGGTTTCTCTGAGACAATTTTCATCATCTTGGGCATCCGGGAAAGCCCCTGATGAGAATCACCTTCTCTGGAGAAGAGGTTACTGCGCACGAGAGTCTAGTCGTACTTCAATTTGTAGCATTATACTCCTTGAATAGAGACACAATGTATCCCTATAGACTATTTGTCTTCCTACAGAGTATACTATGAAATTCTAGAATAGCTGCACAAGAAAAGTACAAGACGTTAAATGTAGCAATGCGCCAGGCAGGTGGTGAGGCTCTGCATTTCAGTGCGGCAATCTCAGTGCTCGCCACATTGCTCCGCGGCGTACCGACCGACCACAACAAGTCACTGCACAAAACCTCACGCAGTGTTCTTATAATCTGGGGCTACGGACCACCATTACGGAACAGGAATCAAATTAATCACAAGTCGATCCTCGGACCACAAGTGAAAAAACCCATGTTGTGTGATAAGTCGCGTTGAGACCTTTTTAAACATTCGGCTAGTATGGCTGTACTGTGCTTGGATTATGCAGGGGGAGGGGGGAGGGGTTGCCCCACAGAGGGGTGCGACTCTGATTCCGGGTCCCTGGGCCAGCTACTGCAGCATCAATCTTGACCAGTGAAATTTAGGTTGATGGAATTTTTTATTGTTTATACTTTGAAGTAATGTAACTACACAGGGAAGACGTTGGGAAAAGAGAGGTTACCTACAACAAGTCTAGCTATTCAGAGAACTACACTACCGGTGTAAACTACCAGGCACAAATACTCAATAGTAAGTAGGAGATGTTAAAATCGAGCTTACAATTGGTATCCTGATATCGCCTTTGTGGTGAAGCGCAAACAAAATAAACTGTGATGCTCCGTATAGAAGAAAGAATGGGGGAGTGGATTCGGGAGCGTGGGAAAGGTGAAACATATCATACTACGAGAGTCATAACTAATGTGTGATGTGATGTAAATGTATTGTGCTTAAAGGCTTATGTTATGATTGTGGTAATCTGCGAAGACTCAGCAGCAGTCAAATGCATGGTACGTATAGGAACTCAGAGTACGTCTTCACATCCCTTGTCCGGTATACATGCCAGCTCGACTGCTCTGGTGTTTGTTACTCCGCCATTGCTACAGTGATGCATCGTAGGTCACTTGGACGATCATTACAATGAAGAGTGCTCCATGGTGATGGCCGTCCGCTACCATAGTTACCCGTTGCCATGGCTAGAGAATCTAGTACCCTTAGTGTTTGTTACGTGACGAGCGACGGTTACCAGATCTCCGATTGCTACGTCGGCGGCTACGACGGCTGCTGCTTCCGCTGCTGCTTCCACTGCTGCTTCCACTGCTGCGTCGGCTGCTGCGTCGGCTGCTGCGTCGGCTGCTGTTGCGGCTGCTGTTGCGGCTGCTGTTGCGGCTGCTGTTGCGGCTGCTGCGTCGGCTGCTGCGGCGACTGCTGCCGCGTGGGCTGCTGCCGCTGCGGATTCGGTTGCTGCTGCGTCGACGGCTAGCAGTTACGCGGTTTCTCTCGCGACTTCCTCCATCGTCGGAGCTAGAGTCACCGCCATCCCTTTCATTACTGTCAGAGGCGCTAGAGTGCACCTCGATATCATCACCTTTACCCTTGTACCAACTCTCGTTGTCTTCAGTTTCCAGCTCATAGGTCTCGTCAATGGCATCTTCATCTTCGTCATCAAACAGCTCATCTGCCACCATGTCTTCGCCATTGAGAGCCTCCCGTTCCTCGGCCACACCTCGCTCACTGATCTCGACAGCATCCTGGTTAATCTAATGCAAACAACAAATCAAACAGCGCATCTCCCTTTATGTACCAGCCATCTAATGTATGTAAGGGGCTATCGCAGCCAAAGAAGCAACCATGGTATGAATTCTAGACGACTTTTGTATATGCAAGTTGTGTTTTCCTGACTCCATATGTATCACTATACCCAGGTATGCATGGATATTGGTACAGCATGCAGTAGTATATGAAAGCCATAGGTGGAATACCAAAGATATGCGCCAATTGTGCATATTTCTGACCAACCAGGGTATCACAAAAAAATAGACTGAGAATTAGCTTGTGCTCATGTACTGGGAACATAGGGACAAAAAAAACCTCATAAGCGTTGTCTCAGTGCATGAAGAGCAACAACATACCAGGGATATGGTCATATTGTCACACATTTGAGGTAACACAATTGGTTCAAAATTGCAAATTTTGAATTCTTGTGTCAGATTCGAAATCTATATTTTTCTTCATCTACTCACATCCAGCGTAAGGTAAGTGAAAGAGAGGATAAGAAGCAGTCGCTGGCTGGTGAATTACGCCTGCCTTGACGATTTTAGGCCATCGCTGCCCTCCCTCTCGCTCCTGTTTTGAGAGCGAATACTGCGATGGGATCAGCGATACAAATTTTCAATTTCGAGTCGCATTCAGCGATGATATCGCCACAGCCGATCTCTCCAATCGTCCACCACGTCTAGAAGACGTCGACATGACCTAGAACAAGCTACATCTTCGCTACAAGCAGAGAAACTGAGCGAGAACACGATCGAAACAGCGACAATTATTTGCGCTGAAAAGCATACTTTTGAACGCGTTCGTTCTCCATACTTTCAAATGGCAACCTACCCATATCATACATCAAAATTTTCAGTGGGATCTCAGCTGTCAAGCGCAAAAAACCGCGGCTCGATCGGAGCTACGGCGGCGGGGAACGGCGCGCTTGATTGGAGTGCAGCGAACCGTACCATATGGTACGGTTCGAGATGGGGCTGGTACACAAAGGGTTAAAGGGGAAGTATACCCTAAAATCAAATTTTCACCAGTTGTAGTCTTCTGGGTGCTGAGTCGAATGGTCTTGGTCCGAGGAAGCTGCGACGCTCCCTTCCTACTTGAATCCCAATCGAACTCGCGCACTTCCACCGAAACTGGGTGACTGCGCCCTACGAGATGGGGATTTGTATGCAAAATGTCACTAAAAGCGCCATTTCGTTCTTATAAAAGCACGGATCACCGCGATTGGCCCATATGTTGTAGTCTTTTGGACGCTGAGTCGACTGGTTTTGGTCCGAAAAGGCTGCGATGCAGCGTTCCTCCTTTATTCCCAATCGAACATGGTTGAACAAGCGGTCACGTGCTCCTGCGTACACCAGTCAGCTGGTCACCGTGCCTGCAGGGTACAACTTACTAGCCTGTTTGACCTTTTTTGGGTACAGTCCTGTCACTCGAGTTGAACCCGAGTTGAACCTTGGTGTGAAAGTTGTCGCCTGCTGGCGCGGTGACCAGGTGATTTGGGCACCCAGGAGCACGTGACCGCTTGTTCAACCATGTTCGATTGGGAATAAAGGAGGAACGCTGCATCGCAGTCTTTTCGGACCAAAACCAGTCGACTCGGCGTCCAAAAGACTACAACATATGGGCCAATCGCGGTCATCCGTGCTTTTATAAGAACGAAATGGCGCTTTTAGTGACATTTTGCATACAAATCCCCATCTCGTAGGGCGCAGTCACCCAGTTTCGGTGGAAGTGCGCGAGTTCGATTGGGATTCAAGTAGGAAGGGAGCGTCGCAGCTTCCTCGGACCAAGACCATTCGACTCAGCACCCAGAAGACTACAACTGGTGAAAATTTGATTTTAGGGTATACTTCCCCTTTAATCTCGACCTTTAGCAACCATCTATTCAATGAAGGTATCGTTTCATTGAATAAGAAAATGTATACACATGGACATGTATCTCAAACTCTTGCAAATAAAATCTTTAGACTATCCGTGACCGAACATGTCAATGTCAACAGGTGTGACCTTAGTAATTGCATCTTCTGATTTCCCCGCTCCCCACCCCTCTCCAATTACCTCAGACACATCCTGCGAAGACAAGTCCAAAGGACTGGAGTGGACACATGTACCCACAAACAGGCACAAGGCCAGAACGAAAGCAACCTTCATCTTGACGAAAAGAGAGACAGAGAGCTGTACCAAGTACCTTTTGAAAGACTCAGCTGTAGAATGATGGTTTTTGTCTACAAAAATCGCGCCTTTATACATTTTGCTGCACACGTTGAGAGTCGTGTTACTTTAGATCAAACCTTGATTTTTACTTCATGAAGGTGTGGCCAATCGAGTACAGCGGCTTTCCCCAAGGCTCCCTTTCTCGCAGACTCCGGTGCAACAGAGCAAGTAACTCTGGACCTTAGGCATGCCCGATGATGGGTACACGTAAATGTACATGTTTATTTGCACCTGTTTGCGCCCAAGCGCGTGTGCGTGTGTGTGTGTGTGTGTGCATTGTGCGCGTGCAGGAGTTTTGCGAGACGGGTCCCGCTACCGTTGCACTCTCAGGCAGCGCAAGCTAATTTCTTAGTTTTTCGATTTTGTCCCCCACAAGTTCCATTCTGCACGTACATGTAGTACTGTACGAGGAGATAGTGCCGTCCAGTCAGTTTTGTTTCGTGTTCGCGTAACTTCCCCTCTTTGATTACCTCCGATAACATGAGCCTTCGAAGTTGGGTGGTCGTTGTTTCGCGTTCTTGAAGCCAGCCGTGGCGGTTCTGTGCTGTGGTTCTTCGTCCTTCGTTATCATCTTGTCATAGCTAACATTCTTAGTCCGTTGTGATGTTTAGCTTCTTTTCGTCTTGTGTGCGCTCAACCTCCCTTAAGTTAACTGAGAACCTTCCAAGTTGGAAGGCTGTTGGTTGGCGCATTCCAAGACGTGATGCAGCTAAGCATCCGGTCGTTGAATGTCAGTACATGTATACCACATGAGTCAGTGTTGTGCCTATCGTTGACCGTTCTGACCTACCAGTATCATTCTTATAAAATGTGTAACTGTTGGACGAAACACGCAGAACTTGTAAACTTCCTCACGCCCATATTCCTGGTTTCGGACGCATGCACATATTCGCCCCCTAGCACAATGTCATTATAATAAAGGCGCACGCATGTTGTTGTTGAGTTTCATTTGCATGCCCAGTGTATACTAACTTCAAGTACATACTTACACAATCACGAACGACCACCAGCACATTCCTTGCCATTGTTGTCGATATTGCAGACGTCACACTTGAAGGTCCGTAGAGAGCTCGCAGTTCACGAGCGGGCTTCTTTAAAAGTCTTCCGCCGACTGAAATCGGGCCATACGAGCACATAAGAACATCTCCAATCTGTTCTTTTGTTGTTTTAAAAGGACCGTAGCATGGAAGGTAGGAACAGGGTGGCACAGTACAGTCAACTTCGCTAATAACGACTGCGGATATAACGACAGTCTGGACCAGTGGCCTACATTGTACATGCTGCCAAATTTGAGTGGCAGGCCGGTAGAGCCCCAGACGTCCAGTGCAATGCTGGGCGTCTATACCCATTTTTGCTGTGCGCCCGGTCTGTACAGAGGCACCAGAACACCTCGCGTAGAGCTCAGCGTTGTCACCATGATCAGTCAGGTCATGATCAGTTAGAAGTAACGTAGCACACACAGCAGAATGATGCAACATTCACACTGCATGAGGTGTTATTTAGTGACACTTTGTAGTGGGTCAGTACGTCGCGGAGCAATGTAGCAAGAACCGAATTTGCGTCACTGAAATGCGACTTGGAGATAAAATCGTGTACACTGTACAATGTTGTGCAATGTAGTTCGTAGTTCATTATACTCCATGTGTTAACATGAACATTGGCCTCTGCATGTACATGGATATCAGTCGGTCGCGTTAAGTCTACGGCACAAATTACAGAGACAGTATGCATAGGTTCTGCGAAAGTGCTCATTACCTGATTTAGGCAGAGCGGCGTACACAAAGGCACACAATGAAAACCTTGGGCTCGTTGTCTGGTGATTGGTTCAGCCATGAAACTCTGAGTCACAACGGAATTTGCCCAAGGTTTTCATTGTGTGCCTTTGCGTACAGGACCAATAATTATATTCAAGTCGACATCTACATCTGCAAAAGACACTGGAGGCAGTACTCTGAATGCCCCCCCCCCCCCCACCGACCAGACACTAGGGTTCGTATCTGGCTGTGAAAATCGCCCGTTTGATGCAGCATTAGCCTGTCTTTGTCATTTGTCTTTACACAAGATGTGCTGATGGCACACTTCTTCATGCGCAGTGTAGAGCCAGTGTAATGACGTTAGTCCAGATTGTTATGGTGCTAAGATACTCAAAGAAAGCAGGTGAATTTCTGATAACGACTGTCACCGAACTTGAACCCTTTGCCGGCTGATTTCTATGTAGAATTGTACACTGAAATGTTATACCCTGAATTGGACGCAACTTTGCTTTCCCTTAGACGATTTTCATCATCTTGGGCATCCGGAAAAGCCCCTGATGAGAATCACCTTCTCTGGAGAAGAGTTTACTGCGTACGAGAGTCTAGTCGTACTTCAATTAGTACCGTATTACACTCTTTGAATAGAGATACAATGGGCGCTTTCGATTACACGTTTACACAATTCTGGAACTGGTTTTTTAATTCTGGAATGACCAGAATGAGCGGATTCCAGCCTTGTAAACGAACGACTGGAATCCACAACGCATTTTATTCATGTCATGTCACAAACGAAATTGATGAATCGCAAAAAGAGATCACGTACACCCTTGCGATCGATCGCGCGCACGTGGACCTAGCATCGCGCACACGCCGGCCAGGGAGGCTCTTCGCGCGCTTGAGTCATGACCAAACCGGTAACACACCGACAGTGCAATTCTGGCGCCAGAATTAGAGAAATTCCGCCTTCTCTTCAGAATTGATGGATTCGACGGAATTGGATAAAATCAATTCTAACGACGGAATTTGTGACTTTTTGTGTAATCGAACTGTGCATCAACAATAACTAATTCTAGAATTGACCGAAATGCGTGTAATCGAAAGCGCCCAATGTATCCCTATAGACTATTGTTCTCGCTACAGAGTGTCCTATGAAATTCTAGAACAGCTGCACAAGAAAGTACAAGACGTTACATGTAGCAATGCGCCAGGCAGGTGGTGAGGCTTTGCATTTCAGTGCGGCACTCTCAGTGCTCGCCACATTGCTCCGCGACGTACCGACCGACCACAACAAGTCACTGCACAAAACCTCACGCAGTATTCTTATCATCTGGGGCTACGGACCACCATCACGGAACAGGAAACAACTTAATCACAAGTCGATCCTCGGACCACATGTGAAAACCTGTGTGGAAACACAACCCCATGTTGTGTGATTACTCGCGTTGAGAACTTTTCAAACATTCGGCTAGTATAGCTGTACTGTGCTTGGGTTATGCAAGGGGGGGGGGAGGTTGCCCCACAGTGGGGTGTGACCCTGATTCCGGGTCCCTGGGCCAGCTACAGCAGCATCAATCTTGACCAGTGAAATTAAGGTTGATGGAATCTTATTTTATTGTTTATACTTTGAAGTAATGTAACTACAAAGGGAAGAAGTGGGGGGGAGGGGGGGGGGAGAGAGGTAATCTACAAGAAGTCTAGCTATTCAGAGAACTACACTACCGGTGTTAACTACCAGGCACAAATACTTAATAGTGAGCAGGTTATGTTAGAATCAAGCATACAATTGGTATCCTGATATCGCCTCTATGGTGAAGCGCAAACAAAATAAACTGTGATGCTCCGTATAGAAGAAAGAATGGGGGAGTAGATTCGGGAGCGTAGGAAAGGTGATGCATGTCCTACTACGAGAGTCATGACTAATGTGTGGTGTGATGTAAATGTATTGTGCTTATAGGCTTATGATTGTTATGATTGTGGTAATCTGCGAAGACTCAGCAGCAGTCAAATGCATGGTAAGTATAGGAACTC